TATCCTGAGGCCTATGCTCTTCAAAGAATTTAATGCATAACTGAAGCAGGGGTGCTGGAGTCTAGTCTTAAACCACTCACGCCAGATCTTCTCAAATTTTTGAGAGCTATCTCAAATTTTGAAAGTGTAGGATGGATTTCTTCTTATCTATCCAATGACATGTTGTGGGTGGTTACAGATGTAGCCAATGATGTGCTATTGTTTTTCTGGCCAAGAACAGGGTTCTAGTTACCACTAATTCTGTGATAAGGTCATCAAAGGGAAGCTCCAAAATTGGGGTCATCAAAGGGAAGCTCCAAAATGAGGGTTATCAAAGGGAAGCTCCAAAACTAAGGTCATCAAAGGGAAGCACCAAAATTAAGGTCATCAAAGGGAAGCACCAAAATTAGGCTCATCAAAGAGAAGCTCCAAAATTAGGGTCATCAAAGAAAAGCTCCAAAATTAGGGTCATCAAAGGGAAGCTCCAAAATTAGGGTCATCAAAGAGAAGCTCCAAAATTAGGGTCATCAAAGAGAAGCTCCAAAATTAGGGTCATCAAAGAGAAGCTCCAAAATTAGGGTCATCAAAGAAAAGCTCCAAAATTAAGGCCTCAAAGGGAAGCTCCAAAATTAGGGTCATCAAAGAAAAGCTCCAAAATTAAGGTCATCAAAAGATGCTACAAAATTAGGGTCATTCAGGAGAAGCTCCAAAATTAGGGTCATCAAAGAAAAGCTCCAAAATTAAGGCCATCAAAAGGAAGCTCCAAAATTAGGGTCATCAAAGGGAAGCTCCAAAATTAGGGTCATCAAATGGAAGCTCCAAAATTAGGGTCATCAAAAGGAAGCTCCAAAATTAGGGTCATCAAAGGGAAGCTCCAAAATTAGGGTCATCAAAAGGAAGCTCCAAAATTAGGGTCATCAAAAGGAAGCTCCAAAATTAGGGTCATCAAAAGGAAGCTCCAAAATTAGGGTCATTAGGGAGAAGTGCCAAAATTAGGGTCATAAAAGGAAAGCTCCAAAATTAAGGTAATCAAAGGGAAGCTCCAACATTAGAGTAATCAAAGAGAAGCTCCAAAATTAAGTTAATTAAAGAAAAGCTCCAAAATTAAGATAACTAAAGAAAAGCTCCAAAATTAGGGTAAGCAAAGCGAAGCTCTAAAATTTCTAGGATACCCATCTTTGGCTCAGGAGAACAATGATGATGAAATAACAATCACATCACGATGCTGGGCTTGTTTTCAGGAACTCCAACTATTGAATAAGATCCCCTGTCCCAAGGTATACCTAGGACACAACAGGGATATATTCTCTAAGGGAAGCTCCAAAATTAAGGTAATGAAAGTGAAGCTCCAAAAAATGCACTTTACATTGGTGGTTAGTAGAAAGAATGCAACCCTTGCTAGAGCTTCCATTTGATGACACTCATCAAAGGGAAGCTCTAGCAAGGGTTGCATTCTTTCTACTAACCACCAATGTAAAGTGCATTTTTTTTCCATTGACCCCTGATGAATTTATTTCAGTCAGGGTTCCTCAAGATCTGAAAATTATGTTAAGGGTTCCTAGAGTAGTCACCTATAACAACCATTTTCAACCACGGTTCTGTGGATCCCTAGGGTTCTTCCAGAGGTTGCTAGGCATTCCTTAAGCTGTGGTTAATTGACATCCCATTTGATGGTGCCGCTATAGTTCCAGGGCCAACAGCACTTGGCAAAATCAGCAAGGGTTGTATTCTACTAACCACCAATGTAAAGAGCATTTTTCCATTTACCCCCAATGAATTGATTTTAGTCAGGGTTCCCCAAGATCTGAAAACTTTAGGGTTTCCTAGAGTAGTCACTTCTGTATAGTAGATATATGCCCTATAATAGCCATGCTCAACCAGGGTTCTGTGGATCCCTAGGATTCTTCCAGAGGTTGCTAGGGGTTCCTTGGCCTGTGGATGATTGACATCCTATTTGATGGCACCACCATAGTTCCAGGGCCAATGGCACTTAGCAAAACCAGCAAGGGTTGCATTCTTTCTACTGACCACTAATGTAAAGGGCATTTTGTCCATTGATCCCAATGAATTCTTTTGAGGCAAGTTTCCCCAAGATCTGAAAAATATTTTATGGGTTCCTCTATTGAAAAAAAAGATTAAAAAAGGCTTCCTCTATATAATTAGAGGCATTCTGTGAGGCAGTTGGCGTGGCCAAAATGCCATCATTTAGTTGGTTGGCCACACACTGCTTAGCTCTTATCACTATGATTTAATAGTAAGTTTAAGTTTACTGCATACAACATCTCCATCTGAAAACCAACCTTCCTTGATGCGACACGAGAACCAGCCTTCCTTGATGCAACCTGAGAACCAGCCTTCCTTGATGCGTTTCACCAAACCTGGCTTGCTCACAAGGATAGGGGAGATCTATCTACTCCTGGCTTGCTCAAAAGGACAGAGGAAGTCTATCCCCTATCCTTGTGAGCAAGCCAGTAGATAGACTTCCCCTATCATTGTGAGCAAGCCAGGTTTGGTGAAACACATCAAGGAAGGCTGGTTCTCGGGTCGCATCAAGGAAGGTTGGTTCTCGGGTAGAGACATTGCTGTATGCAGTCAACTTACTGGCAATTAAATACATTAAGAGGTGCTAGGTGGTGTGTGGCTGATATTTTTTCATATTTTGGAGTGGAGAATGGAGATAGACTATAATGACCAACACCCAGATTGTCCATGTATAGGAGAGGCCAGGCTTAAGCAGAGCTAGGAATCTGATCATTTTTGTTGGTATTCTAGAAACACGGCTTGGCTCCTCCCAAGACTGGGCTGTTTGTATTCATGCTGATCCTCTTGTTTAGAGGGACAGGGGACATAGAAAAGATGGAGGGGGGTTTCTCTATGTTAGATGTGATGTGAAAGTGAGGAAGAAAGATGACCTTGTGGTTGTAGGTGGTGATGGTGCGGAGAAGGAATTACAGGAGGAATGATAGATGGGTCTATGGACTGATGGACTTATCATTGGAGTATACTACAGACGTCCTGAGGTCTATGAGAAGGGTGAGAGTCGTCTGCTTCAAAAACAACAAAACAAAAACATTCAGAGGTCCCGAGGTCCACTACAGACGTTCTGAGGTCTATAAGAAGGGGGAGAGTTGTCTCCTTCAAAAACTACAAAACACTCAGACGTCCTGAGCTCTATGAGACATCCAGAGGTCTACTACAGATGTCCTAAGGTCTAAGGTCTATGAGAAGGGGAGAATTGTCTCCAAAACAATAAAACTACAAAACAAAAACAGTCAGACGTCCTGAGGTCTATGAGACATCCTGAGTTCTATGAGAAGGGGGAGAGTCGTCTCCATCAAAAAACTACAAAACAAAAAACACTCAGACGTCCTGAGATCTATGAGATATCCTGAGGTCTACTACAGATGTCCTGAGGTCTATGAAAAGGGGGAAGAGTTGTCTCCTCCAAAAAACTACAAAACAAAAAACCACTCAGATGTCCTGAGGTCTAGGAGACGTCCTAAGGTCTACTAGAAGGGGAAGTTGTCTTCTTCAAAAACTACAAAACAAAAACACTCAGACGTTCTGAGATCTGAGATGTCCTGAGGTCTACTACAGATGTCCTGAGGTCTATGAGAAGGGGGAGAGTAGTCTCCTCCAAAAACTACAAAACAAAAAACACTCAGACGTCCTGAGATCTATGAGACGTCCTGAGGTCTATGAGAAGGGGGAGAGTCGTCTCCTTCAAAAAAACACTCAGGCATCCTGTGGTCTATGAGGCATCCTGTGGTCTATGAGACGTCCTGAGGTCTATGAGACGTCCTGAGGTCTACGATAGATGACCTGAGGTCTATGAGAAGGGGGAGAGTCGTCTCCTTCAAAAACACTCAGACGTCCTGAGGTCTATGAGACATCCTGAGGTCTACACTACAGACATCCTGAGGTCTATGAGACATCCTGAGGTCTACACTACAGACGTCCTGAGGTCTACACTACAGACGTTCTGAGGTCTATGAGACATCCTGAGGTCTACACTACAGACGTCCTGAGGTCTATGAGAAGGGAGAGAGTCGTCTCCTTCAAAAACTACAAAACAAAAACACTCAGACAAAAAAATACAATAAAAAAAACTTTAATAGTAATCTGAAGGCACCCTTTTATCGATCACAAGGAATTATTGGGAATGGTGCAGGTAGGGATAAAGCTGAGCTACAACATAATCAAACACAAGTACTGTATGTGCCATGGGGGGTGCAGGATCATACTAAAAAGTCCATAGATCCAAACATATCCGTGGCATCGCCTCAATGGGGAACTGAAGTCAACTCTGCCATATTTAAAGGAAAAAGCAGAGGGCGCCAACTAAGTTGCTGTTTCCTTTACCCTTTTATCCATCAACGTACAAAGAATGAAATGGGCTGAAATGTATATTTTTGTTTCGCTCTCCACACAAATGCTATTTTTTAACTCTTTTCCTATACACTGCACTTGGTTGGCGCTCTCTGCTATTTCCTTTACCCTTTTATCAATCAACATACAAAGAATGAAAGGGGCTGAAATGTATATTTTTTGTTTCGCTCTCCAAGCAAGTGCAGCTGCCTGTGTAGACTCATAGCACGGCTGCTGTCGTGTAGTCTGATCTCCCCTACTCTTCATCCGCAAGCAGCCTCTAGTGGAAATCGGACTACACTGCCATAGAGACTAACCCAGCCAGGACATTCCCCTCCCCCCCTTCAGACAGAACTTTGTGAACTCTGATGTCCTCACAGTGCGAAGATTAGAGGACAGCACTCAGGGAACTATCGCGCCTTCAGGGTTCTGTGGGTCTTCTGATGTCTGATGACATACGATTTAAATGGAAAACATTTCCCGCACTCAGTGCAGGAATACGGCTTCTCCCCCAGGTGGGTTCTGCAATGTCTGTCATGTAGCAATTTCTGTGAAAAGCGTTGCCCGCACTCAAAGCAAGAATACGGCTTGTCGTCTGTGTGATCTTTCTGGTGTTTGGTAAGATGGCACTTCTGTGCAAAACTTTTCCCGCACTCGGGACAGGTGTATGGCTTCTCCCCGGTGTGAATTCTTTGGTGCCTACCAAGGTGCGACTTGCTGACAAAACATTTCCCGCACTCAGAGCAGGGGAATGGCTTCTCCCCCGTGTGCATGCTCAGGTGTCTGTAAAGATGGGCCTTCTGTGAGAAACCTTTCCTGCACTCAGAGCAGGAATATGGCTTCTCCCCCGTGTGAGTTTTCTTATGACTTTTCAACTGGTATAGCTCTGTAAAACGTTTCCCGCACTCAGGGCAGGAAAACGGCTTCTCTCCCGTGTGAATTTTCTGATGAGTGTAGAGATGGGCCTTCTCTTTAAAACATTTCCCGCACTCGGAGCAGGAATACTGCCTCACCTCCGAGTGAGACCTTAGGTGTACGACTAGGTCATACCTCACTGCATAACATTTCCCACACTCAGGGCAGGAAAACGGCTTCTCCCCCGAGTGACACCTTTGATGTCTGACAAGTTTTGATTTTTGTGCAAAACATTTCCCGCACTCGGGGCAGGAAAACGGCTTCTCCCCCGTGTGAGACCTCTGATGTGAGCCAAGTTCAGATTTCGTTACAAAACATTTCCCACACTCCGGGCAGGAAAAAGGCTTTTCCCCCGTGTGGGATCTCTGATGTCTGGCAAGTTTTGAAGACTGTGAATAAGATTTCCCGCACTGAGAGCAGGAGTACGGCTTCTCCCCGGTGTGAGATCTCTGATGTCTGACAACTAGCGACCTCGTGGTAAAACATTTCCCGCACTCGGGACAGGCGTGCGGCTTCTCTGCCGTGTGAGATGTCTGATGGGCGTAGAGACTCGGATCAAAGAGAAAACTTTCCGCACATTCAGGATCGGAAAAGGTTTTCTCCTGCTGAAATTCGGTGCCAACCCTCACAGTACGAAATTGCTCAGAGTCGGAGGGATCCCACGGTCCACCAAAGTCTCCGGTGATGTCCTCATCTTCAATTTTACAATCTGGAAGTAAAGTGGAACGATCCTTTGAGAGTTTCTCGATGACGTGTCCTGGAAAAAATATTTAAATATATTATCACTAAACCAGTTCGCCTAATCCTGGATAAAGGTAGATTCAGGTAAGCAGATGTTCTCTGTGGGTCCAGCTCAGTAAAACTGCTCAGTGTCTTTGGACCTTCCCCCAGATCACTTCCATGGTAATCCGGCATTGTCACAAATTGGGGGAACCCATAGCAACGGACAGTTGTGTGCTGTTCTCATACAGGCCTAGGTGGTGGGTCAGAGGACCCCTGCTACTGAGGACAATTAAAGTTCAGTTTGGGAGAACCACCCCACAAGTGATCAAAGATGTCTCTGTGGATGAAACGCGTAGGAAGGCCCTACAGCAGTGACGTCATCACGCCCTCCAAGTTGTAGCGTGGTGCTTGTGTGCTTACCTTTGCCTATATTTGTGAGTACCAAGTGGCCTAACAGTATTACACCATGGAATTCTCTATTCTACACTCCACCAGTGATGTCATCACGCCTTCCAAGTTGTAGCATGTTGTTTGTGTGCTTACCTTTGAATACCTCCTACAGGTGGAGAACAGGAGCTGAAGCCATCTTTTATCCATCTCATTCACATTTATGCAACAGGGAGTTGGTGTCTGTGTGCAGACAGCCGCCATTTTGTTGAGACCCCCCACATGTCCTCCATCAAGGCCCACCAAAAACAGGGCAGTTTAAAGGCCTACCTCCAAGGCCACAGCCCTCTACATACTCATCTCCACCTTTAAACCTGCACGTATGTTGTGCCAAAGACAAGGTCCGCCTTGTGCACGCACATACCGTACCCATGGTCACATCTACCATCCAAGCCAGTGGACAGTCTGGTGCAAGACAGACATAATCGGCTTGTCAGGCTCCAGTAGACAACAAAATGGCGGCCATCTGCACAGAGACAACTCTACAATTAAGCACCAAGAAGGGCGAAACGCAAAAGGGAGTTGATGTCTATGTGCAGACGGCTGCCATTTTTTTGAGTCACCTACATGTCCTCCATCAGTGCCCGCCTAATACAAGGCCTAACTCCCAGGCCGCACATAGTCCACAGCCTTCTAAGTACCCATCACCACCTTTACACCTACGGTACGGTGTGCCTATGACAAGGTGTGCCATGTGCACACGCTCACCATACCAGTGGTCATGTCTATCAGCACGGTTCCGCTGGCTGGGGGCACTCACTGCATCAATCTTGATGGAGTCATCACGTTTGATGCAGTGAGTGCCCTCAGCCAACGGAACCGTGCTGATAGACAAGACCACTGGTATGTATTTTCAGCATAGGTTTCACTTCCTTGCCCACCACCATTTCCTAGCCCGACCATGCAGTTGGGTCCCCCAGAATCCCTCTTCTTCATATAGATCTTCTTCACCTCATGAGATGTACAGTCTACCACGGGCTTAACCAGGTATTACCCCACTTCACAGCAGCAAGGTTACTAAGGATCTTCTTCAGACATAGGAAGCAGCCAGAAGCTCAATCCAAGTCAATTTTATCTGAAAAGGTCCCTCTAAAAGTCCATGAAATCTTCAACTTTTCTATCAATCATTCAACGGTTCTGTTCTAGAGGGTGGTGTGCCTTTGTGTGTCCACCCCGTGGGGTTGCAAAGAATAATGGTGCTTACCTCTAGGTCATATCTTTCTCACCTGGCTCCTATCCTCCCAGCAGCCAAGGCAGGTCTCCTCCTAGCTAAGCTGCCCCTGACCAACAAACAGAGCAGAGATAAGAGGAGAATATATTATGGTCACCTGTGATGATCTCTGTAAGAGTGTCCTCCTCTATGAATGTCCTCCTCATTCCATCCTGCTCCATATCATCCCCAGGGGTTGCAAATAATAATGAGGCTTACCTCTAGGTCATATCTTTCTCACCTGGCTCCTATCGTCCCATCAGCCAAGGCAGGTCTCCCCCTAGGTAAGCTTCACATAGAGTATTTATAGGATACTGGCAGGAGGAAATGAACTCATTCTCCGTCCTGGAAGTATATCTCCTAAAGGGGCAACAGAGTGTCCCTGGCCAACAAACAGAGCAGAGATAAGAGGAGAATACATTCTGGTCACCTGTGCTGATCTCTGTAGGAGTGTCCTACTCTATGAATGTTCTCCTCATTCCATCCTGCTCCATATCATCCCTCACATACGTCTCTTCTACTTCATCCTCAAATTTTCTATTAATCATTCAACAGTTCTGTTCTAGATGGTGGTGTACCTTGGTGTGACCACCCCAGGGGTTGCAAAGAATAATGGTGCTTACCTCTAGGTCAGATCTTCCTCACCTGGCTCCTATCATCCCATCAGCCAAGGCAGGTCTCCCTCTAGCTAAGCTTCACCTAGAGTATTTATAGGATACTGGCAGGAGGAAATGAACTCATTCTCCGTCCTGGAAGTATATCTCCTAAAGGGGCAACAGAGTGCCCCCGGCCAACAAACAGAGAATATATTTCTGGTCACCTGTGCTGATCTCTGTAGGGGTGTCCTCCTCTATGAATGTCCTCCTCATTCCAGCCTCCTCCGTATATTGCTGATCATCCCTCACATACGTCTCTTCTACTTCACCCTCAACTTTCATGTTCATCAGATCTTCACCCTAAACCAACAGAATGGCAGAAAATAACATCTGTAACATAGAAGGATTTATGATGTGAGATCACATAGAACATCTCATCTTGTAGAGTCCACACATCGTCTCCACATGTCAGAGTGTTCCATCACTTTATGTTCCCGACCCTCAACTCCACCAACCTGATGATGGTGAGGGATGGTGTGATCTTCCTGTGTGGAATCCCGAGACTCCCGAGGATGGGGACATCTCTCAGTTGGCTCCTTCATAGCATCCTTATAGAAATCAGTGTGTCCTTCTGAAAACTCCATCACACCATACTCATCATCCTCGTCTTTAAACTCTTCTTTGATAATGATTTTAAAATCCGCGAGGTTTCCATTCTAAATATAATAATGAGATTGTAACAAACATGCTGTGTATAAATCATAACTACCAGTGATTGTGCCTCATCTACCTGATGATGGTGAGGGATGGTGTGACCTTCCTGTGTGGAATCCCGGGAATACGGAGGACGGGGACATCCCTCTGGTGGGTTCCCATGACTGGATCCACCTACCTGATGATGGTGAGGGATGGTGTGACCTTCCTGTGTGGAATCCCGGGAATACAGAGGACAGGGACATCTCTCTGGTGGGTTCCCATGACTGGATCCATCTACCTGATGATGGTGAGGGATGGTGTGACCTCCCTGTGTGGAATCCCGGGAATACAGAGGATGGGGACATCTCTCTGGTGGGTTCCCATTACTGGATCCACCTACCTGATGATGGTGCGGGATGATGCGACCTTCCAGTGTGGAATCCCGGGAATACAGAGGACGGGGACATTTCTCTGGTGGGTTCCCATGACTGGATCCATCTGTAGGAAACACACACACTGACTGAATCCATTGTTTCTATGTGTTTATCAGATGATGGGGGATCTAGGTGGACCCTCCGTACTGCTCTCTCCTTTCCAATAAAGTCTCCTCTTACCCGGTGATGTGAGGGGCGGCTGATTGTCCATCATGACGTCCTTGTAGAGGTCCTTGTGTCCTTCTAAATACTCCCACTCCTCCATGGAGAAATAGACAGTGACACCCTGACACCTTATAAGAACCTGACACACACAATGATACAGTCACCATCCAGACACATCCCTTGTCTGTTACTGGAGAATGTCCCAGAATTCCCGGCACCGCTCACCTCTCCTGTTCAGTGGTGACTTTTGGAACCTTCATGTTCCCTTAGGAGTCAGGGAGTGAGGTGAAGGTAGCGCGATGTTTAGCTCTTCACCAGATTCCGAAGAAGGGATACTCTGTATGGAAACACCAACAATAAGATCATAGTTCTTTTAAGGGTTCCTCCTTGATATAGAGCTTGAGAAAGACTTTTGTAGACCACAGGTCCCAACATTGGCCCGAGGAGTCCATCTAGAAGTAGTGGAACAAGAAGGCAGAGCACCTTTTCTAGGATATATCCATTAGGACAAAGATAGTCACTCTTCCTGACCAAAGATGATGGTGAAAGATGGACACAGACAGCTTGGACAACTTCAAGGCCATGGAGAGAAATCTCCTACTAGTGCATGGTGTCAAGGATCCAACCCACACGCCCACGCCCACAGCGACTAGCTAACAGAGGCGTGCACATCCAGCCGTGACTTGGGGTAAAGAGGGAATGAGGGGGACTTACTTTGGATATATATAAGACTGGCCGTGATATACTTTCACAGCCCGCACTGCCTGTGGCCACCACTAGATGGAGACTCCAATCCAGCTGGCTGACCACACACACAGGCAGATACAAGCTAGGACCCCGGTGTTAATCACTCTTCCACTGTTCACACCCCCCCCCACACCAGACACCCCACAAACGGTAGCTTGCCACCACCCAACAGTTTGTCCGCAGACTGGTCTGCTGGGCCACCACACACACACAGATCTCTGTCTGGCAGATCTGCTACCTTACAATCTGCATGCAATCTGCCAACACGCAGTGCAATTGCATACAGATTGGCAATGAACATGATCAAGCTTATAAAGACACTAACATACAATACTATCTCTCCGAGCTTAGTACCCAGAAGTCACTTATTAATTTTATGATTTAATATCCCGAAAGTGGGCGGAGCATAAATATGTACAAAGAAGAAACAATTACAGAAAATGCAAAAAGACACACAATTGACTATTGACTATAAAATAAAAGGGAATAAAAACAGAAATAAAACTTTTACCAAG